TTCACTTTACACGTTCAAAAAGCGAAAAGCTTACTTTTTGCAATACAATATAAATACAGCTCTATCAGTATTAACTGTTAGCTTGAAACAAATGGTTACAATTTCAGTATTAGATCCCCATGAAAGTGTGTTACCGTGTAAAGAAGGAATAACACTACATGAAAAGAGAACAATATAGAGAGTCTTGGACATGTGCACAGTAGATATACTATAATTAATATTACATGTATTAAATATTCTGACTGTGACTGGTGCCTTTGGAAACTGGAGGTTTTAAACTGGTGCACTGGTAGGTGTAGTAGGTGTGTTTATTTGCGCATTTACAGTATGTGTTCAGGATCAGTGATTTGGGTTTTTGGTGAAGCAAGGTTGGGGAAAGAAAAGTCTTTTTGAATAGAGCTTTTGAAAGCAGGTGTTTTGTGGTGTTTAGGATATTGTTTTGCTGTGGGGTACTGCAGTGTGGTAGTAGCCTCCTTTCAAACCACTCCTCTGCAAAAGATTGCGACAGTCATCTTGATAATTAAATCGCAGTGTAACAATTCAGGTGATATTTGCTTACGGCACAGGACAGGGGTGCAAGTGGAGTAGCACAGGGGTGTATATAAATAGCTTTTTATCCAAATGTAATATTAGGTATTTCTTCACTAAACATGTGAAAATAGGCAATCTTGTAAAACAAGCATAATCATCTTACCATATTCCCATACATTTTCAAGCTTAATGTTGACTACAGCCTTTCATCCTACATAGTATTAGTGGATATTTTTTTTTCTGTGTAATAATGACTAAAACAAAATCTATTTCCAATGCTGAACTTACTTTTGAACAATTTCCCTTTCATGCCTACACATTCCGTTTGGTTAACGCTTTTGAGGTAAGAAGAAGGCTCAACCTTATTTATTCCCTTTACAAATTGCAAATGTCAAGCAAGTCTTCTCTTAGATGCTTACTAAGAACCAGAGAGATACTGCGTGCACAGTCTATGCTCATAACTCGCGCCCTCGAGCACTCGAGTCTGGTTGCTCCTTTCTGGATGCCAGATGGAGAGCGCACCTGTCTGTCCCTGGGCACAGCTCTCCTTCCTGGAGATCCCTGTGTAAACTTCCCTCCCGAACCGCTCTGGGACCTGCAGTGGATGACACAGCACAGAATCATCGCCTCTAACAAGCCTGAGAGCCGAATCAACCCGCAGGCAGCACGGCAGAGCCTGTTGTGCACGGAAAAAGCCAGAGTATGTCACACTTCCTGCGGCTGTTCATGGCCGATCGCCTTGTCTGACCTGTCAGGAAACATTCTCTCTGCCTTGAGAACAGGTTTCACCAGCTACGCATCGCTCACCTAACTTTGTTGTGGACCAAGCTACACTAGCCCTCTTTAAATCCCACAGGACAGAACGAGCGTGTTCTAGGCTGCATGGTGGTCAAAAGACACAAAATGTGAGCTTGCTTATTGAAAATGGGGATTTGGAGCGCTTTGAAAAGAAATAGTGCCCAAGCAATGCCTTTTGTCAGGTTAGAGGAGTGAAAGGAAATATGAATTTTTCTGTCAATTTTTTGCATTGTCTTTCTGTCTTGATTTGTTTCCAAGAGCTTAGAAAAGTCAGAGCCTCTGGACTTTCTCAAAACACCTTTTATGCAACATGCAACACCCTGTATCTATTTCTCTCTAGCACAACTGCGTGTGTGCTCAACACTGGGCAATGGGGATCTGGCCCTGAAAGCCTGATTGTGCTCAAGTGTAGGGGAGGAGAGCTGTCCCTGCTCCATAACAAAGGCAGTGAGCGGACTGTGTGAATGAGTTACCTCCTTACGCCTAGAAGGTGTCAAGCAAAGTTCTGGCTCATTGTCAGATGGGTGCCTACAGTACAGTAGCAGGAGCCAGCAGACATGTCACCCTGGAGCTCAGCAGGTGTGAGCCTGGTCAGTACCTGGATGGGAGACTCCTGGGAAAAACTAAGGTTGCTGCTAGGAGAGGTGTTAGTGGGGCCAGTAGAGGGGGCTCACCCTGCGGTGTGTGTGGGTCCTAATGCCCCAGTATAGTGATGGGACTATAAAAAGGGCACCATCCTCCAGATGAGATGTAAAACCAAGGTCCTGACTCTCTTGGGTCCTTAACACTATTTTTACTGTTTTAGATGGTCCCACCACAAATGAATGGGAATCATACTGAACAGCTTTGCTTGAAAGCACAATTCTTCCCTTCAAGTCCCATGAACAGAAGACAGGATATTAAAGTGAATAAAAAGTCAAGAATGTATTGTGGACAGCCTGGAGTTGCTGACAATATTAACAAGACTCGCATTGCCTGTAATCCCTCCAGTTTTGAATATCAGTGACAACCAACAGGATCTCCATCCTCCTACTTACCCGAGCATTTTTTCATTCCTGAAAGCGAGCCGAATCTGGTTTCTCTACTTGAGGACTATTCACTGCTGCCTTTGTACAAGTTTGTATTTAAATTGATATTCAGAATCGGGTCCTGTTATATGACATTTTTATTATGCTAACAGTGTGGGATTATTAGTTTATTATAGCGTTTACTTTTACTAATTATTTTTATAGTGGTTAATGCTTTAATTACCTAGTGATTCAATGCATTTAATTTTGCTATGGATACAATTTTAAAAACCTGTGCTTTTTAAATGAAAGGCCTGCTATGCCTGAAGGTACTGTACAGTACGTGTGAACCTCTTGCAAAAATGTCATCCCACATCTCTGTCAATAAATCCCATTGCCACTAGAGGGCTTGTGGTACTCAGTCTGCTGTTGGAGGCTACACTGCAAATATCAGATCAGACTCGGGCACTGAATCTCCATGGGAATAATAATTCAGAAGCTCACTCACAGACTAATCAATAGGCTGTTATATTTTATTAAAGACAAAAGCATAGGTAAAGATTTGATTTCAAGAGCAGGGCCCCCAGACAGTTCTTTACAGGGATGAAACAACACTCCTTCCAGAGGGAGATGTTTTATGTAAGATTCTCTTCAGTTACTATGCCTCCATTGCCCCATTGCAGTGTCCCCCAGACAGTGACTTGATTATTCCTTTTGTGCTGTGTGAAGTACTGCAATAAAGCCTAGCTCTGGCTCAGCAATGTGAAAACAAAAAAACAGGTTAGAAGAATAACACATCCAAACAGCTCTCGAGCCCCATTGGACATAAACCAGTGAAAGAGCTATCAAACTAAGTGCAACAATTAAATTCAGAAATGTGTAGCTACAACACAGTTTAATCACAGTGTTAGCTTATTTTTAAACCCTCCAAAACTGATCTTAAAGCTATTCAGCCAGCCATTTTAATATACAGTATATCATACAGGGTGAAATATACCATAATTTAATTAATAAAGAACTCTCTGCTCTCTAGGATGCTATGTTGCATGAGAGTAATCTTGTAACAATAATCTTGTCATCCTTCTCTAAAAATACATATGTTAGCATGCAAAAAAATAAGATGTTAGTACAACACAGACACCTCTGGGTCAGTGCATTATTGCGTTAATTAGAAAACTTTCAGTGTCGGGAAACCGCATCCCAGAGAGGACTGTTTGTAGAGCCATTAGTTAGGACGTGATTTTAATGGAAATTCAAAGTGGTAAGTCCTAGGAATTGAGAGTGCTCTCATCACCAGATAGCACTCGCTGGGAACCTGCTATTGTACGAAGGACCACAAAGCGTACCTCAGGGGAAAAAAGAGTGATCAGAAAAAGAAGAGCTTTGATGTGCTCAGTAACTAAGGAGAAGTGGCGGCAGTGTTATTTGCAGTGCCGAGAGCCCTCCAAGAAGGACACGCCGCGCGTCAGCCCCTGTGTTGGAGGTAACGGGGGGAGAGCAGCATGCTTTGGAGTTAGAATGTGTGTTAACCAAGACATGCTGTGTAACCACACGTTTACTGTGTGCAAAAAGAGCATAGCCAAAGCATCTCGGAAAAGGAAAAACATTTACATTACATTTGGGTTACATTTGCTGCAAACTATTACAGTAAATGTACAATGGGATATACTATATATAATAGTACAATGGAATACTGTAATTTTGCCTTTGTCTTTTACTACACTGTCTTTGCCAATGCATTTGGGGATCATTGAAATTGGTAATATTTCCTCTCTATGGATAAGTCTTGCTCTAAAATGCTCTATCTCAGATCTACACTGCACTTTGAGAACATAATAACTGCAAAGGAGTGGAGCCACCTGGCCCATCTTACTCCAGATGTTGTCTGGCCATTTCTTAAAGGAGCCTAGAGTTTAGGCTTTATGCCTCTAGCTAGGACACCCGCAGCTCTGTGCAAAGAAGCATCTTTTATTCTCTCTCCTAAATGGATTCCTCTTTAGTTTCCAGTTGTGCCCTTGTGTCTAACACAGTCCCCTGCATTGACCCAATTTATACACTTTAGGATTTTATATAATGGGATTAAATCACCTCTCAATCTTTTTTTTTTATTCCAGACAGAAGAAATTCATCTCCTTTAACCTTGTCCGTATTTAGCAATCCATCCAGACCTGCGAGAACTGTGTCCTGCTCTTTTTTGCTGGGGCTGTGCCTGCAGCTGTAACAGCCTGAACAGCAGGTGGCATGTATCCCACAAGGGTCTCAAACACTTGCTGCCCAGCCCTGCCCCATTCTTCATGCTGTGATGAGCGGGACTGAACACACACTCCACTGGTCCCAGCAGTTTTCAATAGGACTGGGATGAGACAACCGCTATTCCTGCCAGGGAAGGTGATGGAAATCAGTCTCGTGTTTCTTAAAACAACCACACAGCGCCTTCCACCGGGAGAGCCTAACGCCTTGACATTGTAGGTTCCTAAGATTTTGACTAGTAAATGGACTAAGCTGAGAAGTTAGAGTGGGGAATTGCACCAGTAAAACGCAGCTTTTTGGTTGGGGGGCTTTCTTCCAAAGAAACGTTAAAAATAAAAAATAGCTCTTGACGTCTGTAACTAAAAGTAAAAAATAATACTAAAATTAAAACTGGAGTCTTATATCTTTGTTCCCATTACCTTTTTATTAGAATTTTCTTTTCTCTTATTTACCATAAAATAAAGATACATCTATAAGTTACATGTACAAATCGGGAAATATAGTAGTTTATATGCAATGCATTTACAGTTCAGAAAATACATATTCACAAAAAATGTCTGAATTTCTTCTTACAGAATAAAAGCACATTTTAAAGTGTGGGGTGAGGGACAATAGAAGCTCTTTGGCATTGAAAAAGTATCATCAGAAAAAGAAAATATAAAATTACATAATTCAATATTTTAATCTCAACTGATGTACAGGGTTATTCTTGACACGAGGTATACAACAGAAGGTGGATGGTGGATTGTGTCAATATCTGAACTACTCTTTTCCCTTCCTCAAAAATTGGCATCTTGCGTTGACTTTAAAAATGTAATTAAAACAATGAAATTCTCAGTTATTTAAACCTTTTTAAAAAATAGATCAACACGTTTCATACTAGTTGTAGACTTTCTGATATAAAAATGTAAGATTTAAATTAATTGGATGTCCCCCACTTTGTAGATACAGAGACAATACACCTCTGATCTGTACAAAACTAAAGCCTCTTACGCACCTTAAACATTTAGTTGTCTATGTAAGGAGAACAATTTTGGCAAAATGAACTTCACCAGTGAGAAAACTAACGTTACAGAGGGATAAAGACCCAGACAGTTTGTAGCAGCTGTTCATTACATAAGTATCATGCTCTTGAAAATCAAATAACAAAAATATTAGTGTCAATTTCATCTTTTGCCTTTTGATTCAATTCATCCTAATGGTTTGCTTTCAGACTTCAATGTATTTTAATATGTGTTGGGGAGGCGGGTTGACCTACCCACCTTTTCGGTCAAGGTTCAAGTCGACCTTGAACTTCCGTTCGCCTTTTCACTTCCCCCCAGAATGACAGACTAACACTTTTCTAGATTCCGACGAGCCACAGTTGAGTTGCTGCGACCAGTGTCCTGCTGGGAGCTTGTGTGGCCCCACAAGCGAACTGGAACAAGTGGACAAGGAGCGGTCAGTCTGAAAACACACAACGAGGCCGCGGGGACCTCTCGGTGAGGCTTGGCACGGTTCGTGACGCTCCAGAAGCAGCCCTCGCTGCCGACGCGGCGGCTGTGCGGGTGTCGGGGGCGTGCAGCGCACCCACACACACACACACACACACACACAGGGTTACGACGCACATCGATGTGGCCCCTGGCCTGGCACTGCTGGAATTTCGAGGAGAGCGCCACATCTCGTGCCCTCCGCTACATGGCGCCTCTCTTCTTGCGCAGTGGACTCTGGCTGGCGGAGGGTTTTAACTCGGCGTACTGCACCTGTGAAAACAAACAGGAGTGACGTTGCGAGGCAGGTAATTCGAGCTCGCTGGAGCGCGCGTTAATGGCTCCCCGAGGAGCCGTGGCGGAGGAGAAACTGAGGAAGGTTCAGGAGTAATGAATCATTCTCTAAACACAGGAGCAGAGGGGATTAATCACTGAGAGGAAGGATTTGAAAAGTCAAGGGTTCCTTTAAAACACCACCCCACCCCCTCTCTCCAAAATCACAATATTAACAGCAGGTCTCACCAGCTAAAGGAATCTGCGAGCCCGGAAGTCAGAATGAGAGTATAATTAATTTAGAACCATTACATCAAATAGATGAATGAAATAATCAGTGTAAAGTGTTTAAAAAATATCATACACCAGGCTAGTCAAAATTTCAGTAGGCCTTTGGCACACAAATCCTACATTTCTGAATTACAACGCCTTCTGATATCATGGCTGCTAGTGTCCACTGTTGAGATGCTTTCCTCCCAGTATCATTCTTTTCTGTCCAGACTGATCCAGTTTTGCCCGCTTCTCTCTGAATGGCAAACCAGAGCTTAAACTTTAACCCTTGAACTCTCACCTCTGTCTCCCCTGCCCAAAGTGTTACTAAACTACCCAGACCAACATCATGGGTGTGGAAATGTCTTTGAAGTTTATAAGAGACATAAATGGTAAATTTATAAGTGGTTATAAATACAAGACCCACTTTTAGGAGAGAATTAATAGACTAATGAAATATGATATATTCCAAACTAAATTCAAAAACTTAAATGTATTCCTTATTCTTAAGATTAAAGCGGATCATGTTAATGTTAAAGTCATTCTATGAAAGCTCAAGTCTAATTCAGCGACATTACTAATTTAAACTATGGGTAAAGATACAATTACATTGCAATTTATTATACTTTTAACCTAGACATTACTCTTGGTTACAGATCAAGAAATAAAGTCATCATTCGTTGTTTTACATTAACATAAAGTAAGAAACTAGTAGCAGTTCCAGAAGTCAATTGGTTTTGTATTACAAAACACAAATACAATATATCCTTAAGGGTAGCTCAAATTTCATGGTGGCCCAAAACAGACAGACATGACAATCTTTTCTTAGTATATGGATATTTTGTTTATAAAAAGTGTTAGACAATAGTTAAGCAATAGAAGATATAACAGAATAAAGTGAATAACTCAACAGGGATACATCAAAGATACAGTTGCTAATTATTTCAGGTGTATCCAGGCAAGTAAATCTTAAGGTCATAGACTCAGAAACTTTCCCGACAGATGCTTTGTCATGTGTCTGTGCATGAGTGTTTTTGTGGGCAGCTCTGTCCATTCCACAGAGGCACAAGTTGAAACAGTTCAGCTGCCTTGCAAAGCACATGAGTGTAACACTGGCTGACCCAGCACAAACTAACATTTCTCACGTCAGTGTTAATCTAACGTACTCCAGGCCACCACTCTGGAATTCAAGCTGAAGGACAAGCATATTTACAGTACATGGAGCTGATGTCACTCTCCCAAAATAACATCATACCCTCTGGCCAAATTATTAGACACTCCCAGTCAAATGAATTGGCTCTCTCTCTGGTTCACATATTACTCAGTAAGTGTACAGTACAGTACTTGACAACATTGCAAACAATATTGTTCCACAGATCATCAGCGTTCCAAGCAAAAGCAGTTCTTCTTTTTTATAAAATATATAAAATACAGAGACAAAGTTCAGACACATTTTGATCATGAATTTCTATAGTACCAATATTATTCATTTACATTAGAACAATGGAGTGCCAGGGTGATCAATGTATCGAACACAGTTCACTTTATTTCCCTACTCTATGCTGTCCCGTGCACTACAGTGCCCCTGTGAAGCCTGGTAGCTGATTGCTGGGCTTGTTTTTCTACCACTTGAAAAAAGCAGTGTCTAATTTCCCCCTTCATTTAAAACTGAGGTCACTCGTCTTTCAAAGGTTTCACAACACGTCATGGCAGAGGCTGTGCATTTAGGAGCCCATCAATGCACAAAAGTTTATCGTCCTGTGCTGCCAGCCTATACATCTGCCAAAACTGCAGCTTTAGAAGGGTTTCCTTAGAAAATGTCAATGGGGGTTTGACAACCAGTTGCGAGAGGACTGCGTCAAGGGGCACCCAGATAAGAACTCAGGGTTAGCCCACATTTCCAGACCAGACTGTTTGTGACACTGGCTGAATTCTTTCTCCCGAGAGCCGGAGAGGAGAAGAAAAAAAAAAAGGCTCATTCAAGGCAGGCCACTTCCTGCCCTCACACAGCATTCATACGGAGAAGAGAGACTAAATGAGCTGAGAGCCCTTGATAAACACAAAAGAAATACTTTCTGAGCTGGCAGCATCTCGGGGCGTGTGATGTAACTGCAAATGACATATCAGTCATCACTAATACACAATCGCATATGGCGCGCAGCAGGTTTACTGTAGCTCACGAGTTCATTAATTGACTTCTCCAACCTGATGTGACAGGGCCTCGTTTGAGGCCCCGGCTGTCACAGAGCCGATGATCAGCTGGAGACATCGGCTTCATAATGCTCATGGTCAATCGCTCTCTCGGACACCGCAAGCTTGTTTCCACCCCTTCCAAGCCACTGATAAACAAAACCAGCAACTGAGCAAAATTCGGAAACCGTACAGCTCAGGGATGACCAAACCGAGCCTTGTTTGTTCAATAAGAGCTGAAATATTGGCAGCAAATAAACCAACAGACCAGACAGCTTTCCAGCTGTGCGCCATACAGTGTTTCCCATCTCCAGTTATTGATCTCTCCAGCACCTGATCAAGCATTACAAATAATACAATAGTGTCCTCTTTTATTGCAAAGTATAAAATGCGCGTGTTTTATTTGTAAGGTAAAGGATTTCTAGACTTGAAGGAACAAATCTCTGAACTGGTGTAGTGTGGGAGGCAGAACGATTGGTACAAAAGCAATGAATAACCAAACAATACAAAGGACAGTGATCAGGTAAAATACATTAAGACATTGTGAGAACAATACCATACAAGCCCTGCTCAGATGCTAATCCCAGTCTCTGGCTGCAATATTCTGATTCCTACCTTTTGAATATCGGAAGGCACCCTGCGGAGGAAGTCAAGTATTTCATTGTTGTCAATGGCGTAGGGCTTCCGTAATTTTTTGGTAAATTTGTTTATACCTGCAACAAATAAAAAGAAAACTCTGAACATCCAATAACCAGCCATTAAAATAATTATTGTGGTGTAAATCATATAGTAATTTATATTTGCATGCCACAAAACAGGTTACTATTTTATTTCATTATAAAATGCTACCCAAAGCAGCTCAGAATGTTTAAAAATACAGACTTCATGGAAGGACATTCAGGGCTTTTTGCTCTGATGCAATTTTTTCCCCACTTTTTTCTAACCCTATAAAATCCCAACTCATTTTCCACATTTCAGATGGAGTTAAAAAATTAGGTTGAATTCTCTCTTCCATGGCTACAGTATGGTCTCTTGTCTTATATGCTCGTTTAAAAAATCACTTTCAGGAACTAGGCAGCAGATTTTTGCTCTGAAGCAGAAAGCTTGGGGAAAAAAGCACTCTGACAATGTGTTCCTGAAGACTGTCTGAATCACACCAAAAAAAAGAGATAGCAGGTGGAATAAACAATTTGCCCCTCCGAAGACAGCTGACTGAACACTTGGGCCCAGCAGTGATGTACAATGCAGAGAACGTGAACACCCCCCTTCAGATTCGACCCATTTCTGTCCAAAGGCATGTTCAGTCCTGCAGGTTCTATAAGCAGCAGGAGGAAAGCCAGCTTCTGATCAGCAGCTACACACACCCTAGACAGAGACCCATCCTGCACAGAAAAGATCGATTTTTTTTGCCCTTCATTAAAGTTATTTCTCATGTTAAGAAACGGCATTATTATTTTGAGAAGCAATTAGGTGTCTTTTATGCCCTGCTGCTATGGAACCAAAAAAAAAAAAAAAAAAACAGTCTCCCACTCCTGCTTCAGTTCCTGACAGAGCAGAGTGAAGTGCCCATTAGAGTAGGAGATAGAACTTGAAAGCCTTGCCCTGCAACCACAGAGCTCAGAGTTAACTGCAAATGCAGGAGAGGGTTCAATAGTGTTGTTTGATACCATTTGGCTATTGATTGGGTTAGAGGCACCAGCTCTGCTGTGGTGCTACAGCTTCAAATTAGGGGCCAGAAGGCTGGAGGGGAGGAACTCTGTGGAGACTCTCTCCCTCTGTCTCTGACCCTCCCTAGACTAGTGTCTATCTGCACTGCTTCTGCAATTAACATCTGAAGTCGTTGCACAGACCTGCTGGACAAGGAACGTTTTATTTTTTCAGTCTCCCTCAGACGACACCCCCTAAAGAAAACTATGCTTTTTTCATTTCATCTGACTTTATTCCACATAGAGACCTCGGGCCAAGTTAGCATTGCTTCAGCATTGATTGTGTGGATCTGCTATATCTGCGTCTAGAACAACACTTGTGTAATGTTTTGTTCCATTTTTATTCTTGTTCTGCAAGCCAGCCTCTACCATTTTTGATCAATTGCATTGGATTGGATTGGATTTTTCAAACATGGCAGAATTGCACCTGAGATGTTCCTCAGAGCACTGTTCTGGAAAAGACAGAAGTCAAAACGTTTCTAATTAGATTTAACCGGCCACATGAAGAGTTGAGAAATGCCCCCCAAAAGATGAAGATTTGCTCTGCGTGGTTAAGTCGGTGTTCGAGACCTCTCAAGTTCATGATCCATCCTGATGTCCTCACAAAATAGAAATTGTCAATTATCAGGTGAATGCAGATTTTGATCCAAAGAGGATAATGGCTATGCTGTAGAAGTGAAATCAGCTGGCAAAAACAAGCAAGGAGCTGCAATCATTTCTGACACAGTTTCCTCTCCCACACGCCTTCTGCAATCTGTCTCTCATAGCTGTGGGAGGTTCACTATGGCGCCAAACCTCACAAGAAACGTGTCCTGAGCCACTGCAGTTATGCAGAGGGAACAGGTAGAAGAACAGTCTACTAGCACAACATAACACAGTGAATTACTCATTGAAAAGTTTAGTTTAATAAAACGGAACGTGCAACAGGAAAATATTCAAGGCATTTCAATATCTTGGCCATTTTTTATCAAGATTCATTACTCTGTCTGCAAGATATTTTTTGGAAAGGAGTTTAAAGAACCCAGCAAAGATATTTTTGCGAGCTCTATTATATCAGCCAGCTGAGTTCAAGAAGGGCTGTGTGAAACCGATTCAAGAATTCCATTTTCAACACTCACCCCACAGTAAAACAATGTACCGCAGTGGTATGAAATACACTATAATTGTCGCCACAGTGAGGACCAGGCAAGCAAGACCAGACAAGAATGGCACCGACCAGTTGAAAGTGCTGCAAATTAAAAAGACGAGACACATCAGAGACACATCAGAGAGGTGTTTAGCTGGACATACACTGGACATGGCTAACAAAGAGCAGAGTGGAAACCTACAATCCTGCAAAAATAAATAAATCATCTTGCAGGATCAACTAAACAGATCTGAAGTCTGAAGGTTTGGGGAAATTGTTGTATTTAACAGCCACTTAAAGAAACTCAATAGTAATTTTTTTGAGTTGAGAAAAAATAAACAGCATTTAGATAATGTCAGCTACAAAAATGCTCCAGTTTCAGTACCAGAATACTGCATTCATAACATAAAACAGATATTCAAACTTACTTTTTAATTCTTTCCCCAAAGCATGCGATCTCTTCTAGGAGGTTTTGAACAGTGATCACAATGTCCTGAACCATGTGGATCTTTTCCATCAACCCTCTTTTCTCCGATTCCTAAAAAAGGCACAAGGACAGGTAAAAATGGGATCTGTAGGGTAACAGAGGAACAGGAAGATAGTTTTTTTAATCCAATAAGCGATGATGAGTAATTCTGGGAAACACTGGACAGATATGGGGCAGAGATTTTACCAACAGCTGTTGAGATTTGCGATTCAATGTGAGCTGAAAGCTGTTTACAGTCAAAAACTGTCATGAGAGACAGTGGGAATTCAGCCTCAGTAAGGCAGGTTCACTGAAACAAGTACAAACACTCTGCAGGGTTAAAGAAGAAATGGGAAAATATATAGTTGTCACCACAGTGTAAATATTGTGGCTGCCTGCAATCTGGCAGCATCTGATATCACTTCAAAACCAGACAGCAAGCAGGAGAAGTGACCAATACTGCAGAGAATGAATGTTCAATCCACACGTGTCTCCACAGGACATGTCTGCTCTTGCTGTGACAATCCGGACCCAGCTCCAGCCAGCAGTCTCTGCTGCCTCTCTCTTCACACCTTTCCCAGTGAGAGAGATGGTGTGGGAGAACACTCCGCAACAGCCAGAACCGGCTTGTCATCACACAGGAAAAATCGATGGCCACTCGGAATGCGTGCTTGCACTACAATTGTGGTAAAGCAATGCTATGCTATAATGAGATACAGCAATGAGAGTTGAGAAGCAAAAAGTACATCTCAGTCTCTTCCACCCCCAGAAAAGTGGTGATAGACTATGATACAACACACCCTGCATGTGTTATTGTTCTAAAAACAATGGTTCTGAAGGAACTCAAAGACAAAAGGCACCAAATACATACAGAGGATTTTATAATGAGAACAAATGTGCTACTTTTAGATATGTATACTCACTTCGTACTGGGATGAGTCAATAATAAACACAATGTAAGAGGTAGTACTTTTTGAACTTTTAAACCTTGCAATTGATTTCTGGGCACATGCTAACACTTCTGGTGGAAGCTAAGCCTTGAAAGAAGCATGCTTGCCCACAGGGCAGAGGAGCCCAACTAAAATGAGAACATTTTTTCAAGGACGCTGTGTGTAGAGACGTCTTCCAGACAGCTCCATGAAAACACAAACAAAAAACATGAATTAAAAGTTCTGGCTGAGTGGTGAATCACTGGTGGGAGTCCAGACAATGTCATTTTGGTTTCTCCAATCTGCTGGGTGTGGCGAGTTTGCCGGACCGCAGACACCTATGAGGGGCCGGTCTCCTGTGAGCCCCTCCAGTTGACACGAAGTGCTCTGCAGGCACCGTGGGACCCCAGTGTGACAGGCGACTGACTGGAGGGGATGCTCGCCTTCCCACTGCACTCTTGCTTGTCCCAGGACTGCAGAGGCCAGGCTGATCACTTACTGATATTTTCAAAGCAAGGGAAAAATTGTTCTTTTTAAAAAAAAAATGTAACACAGCTTTCCAAAACATTTCAATGGTTTAGTATTTTCTCCCCAGTTTGAATCGACTTCCACTGTTCAGTGACCAATGCTGGGAAAAGTGCTTATGAAAAACAGATTTTCTGTACTGCTGTTTTGTGGCTGGTCCATTATTATATGAATGCAGCCATGCCCCAGTGCACTTATAGCCAAATAGCTTGATAGATTGTTTTTTACCTCTCATGTGGACCAGAGGTTTATATTTCTTTTTTTTATTTCGGCTCTACAGATGGGGAAAGAAACCAGCTCTGCAATCTGCCGCCTGAACAGATGTGATCATGTCGGGGAAGAAACTGCACCAGGGGTAAACCGTTCCGAAACTCATCAGTGAAGCTTTCCAGAGAAAAAGAGGAGGACGAGATATCAAAAAGTAATGCAGGCTAAAAGAGAGGCTGAGAATTTTCACTTCAAAAGGAGGAAATAATGAAAGGAATGACAAGAGGGAGAGAAAGAGAAGGGAGAGAAAACAGCCATCTGATGTTTCTTGTCATTAGAGGCTTGAAGATGTGTGTATGTTTCTGGTGGGGGAAAAAAAGGACAGGGACGCTCAGTGTGACAGCATCCAGACGGAGCAGTTTATCAGAACTTCAGGAGCCAGCCCATGGGAACCGCAGAGAAGCCACAGCCGGCCAGCCGCCAGCCGGGATCCTCACATCCAGCTCCGGCTCGGCTTGCCTGGCACGGACAAGAATTCCCAGAAACAACCTCACCGAGAAGCGGAGTCAGCTGCAATTCTTTTTTTTTTCCAAACTAAGAAAACTGTCCTCTTTTTCCAAAGCTAGTCACATAATCTCATAAATTAAAAAAAGTCGCAATAGATAATGCAAAAGAATTCTGAAAGAAATAGATATTTCACTTACATACAGTATGTCCTTCCTAAGCTAACTGGATTTTGAGGAGAGTGCAGCTGAATAGCTCATATTCTTCAGCTCTTACAGCCACAAGTGTTGGCACAGTTGTTAAATGTGTATATTTCTCCTTACAATATGGTCTGTCATATTGTTTTAAAGATTTTCTGGGAGTTGAAAAAGCAGAACAATTACTAGTCCGGGACAAAAATATTGGGAAAACTACTGAATCTACTCAAAAGGTACAATGTGTATGCCACCTCAAACGAAAGAAATGTTATTTCTTAAAAATCTGCACTTTTGTAAAACTGAATAGATAGCTGAAATTCATGATCTTGAAATGCTGACCTCTTTAAAACTACCTCCTGTATCCTCTGTCACCTCCGCCCTGCAAAGCCAAGAAGCACAGTGGTGTGGTGTACTGGTGTGCACAGGTGGCTCCCTCTGTTGCCTCACAGCCTAACTCCCGGGTTCGATGCACGATAAGGAGATTCTTGATGGCTGTGCCTGTGCTCAAGGCATTCGAGGGTTAATGGTAACAAGTTAAGGTTTTGGTTGTACCACATACAAAAGATAACTTGTGTCACATATTGGCTCAGCGAAAGATGGAGAAAAAATAAATGCCATCACACAGCTTTCATGTTAATAAAGAGCAAAAAAAAATACAAGCAGGAGCTCAGTAAGCATTTGCATCAATGAGCTTCAAGGATTATTTCAATATATCTCCCCAAACACCTTTGAAGTCCTCCATCTTTTGGTGTCTCATGCAGAAAAACCTTTCATTGCTCATTTGAAGATCCTAATCTGCGCATATTCCTTTTTTTTTGTGGAGTTCCTTGAAAAATGTTTCATTACCTCTAGACAAAATAAATTCCCAGCTCCCTCAGAAGTAAAAAGGAAGTTTTTTGTTGCTAAGGGGACAGATTTCAAAGTTCTCTAATGTCTTCTGATTAGAGAACCCATGTCAGCTTGTAGTTATACTTTAGCAAAAATTATAAATGCAACATTTCAAGGCAACCTCCTAAATGAATAGATTTGATCTGCAGTACAAAAGGTAAATAACTTGAGATTTGAAAGCTGAATTTTGGGCCCAGTTGTTGATAAATGTAACATAAATGCTCATTTATCTTTCCTTTCATTTTGTCAGCTACATCTGATTTTGATTGTAAAGAGCTGCATCTTCTAGCACAAGTGTAGATGAATAAGCCACTTAAAAAAAGAGGCACTACTTACTGTAAAGATGCTACCCAAGGTTGCAGTATCAAAATGAGATGCACTGGCTCACAGCGGACTATGCATACAATACAAAGTGGATCAGGCACAAACATAACATTATCTGATCACACAGTCTGACATAAAAATGCTTGCTGAAGGCTGATGCTTCAGCCACTGCAGGGAAAGGACGAAATATCTTGAAAGTTGTGATGCTTGGGAGAAAATGTCATCCATCCATTCATTTTCTAATTGCTTCCAACTAATTCAGTATTACGGGAGAGCCGGAGTTTATTCTGTCGAGCAACAGGCGCAAGGCTGGTTACACCCTGGACGGGATGCCAGTCCATCGCAGGGCAGACTGACACAAGCACAGAAACACTCTCGCACCAAGGGCCAATTTGCCCAGAAGCCATTCAACCTACCAGTTGGACTTTGGACTGGGGGAGAGAACCAGAGCACCCTTAGGAAGCCCACTCCAGGTCCAGAACTGGACCCAGGGCCCCAGCACTGTGAGGGAACAATGCTGACCACTGTTACGCCGTGCCACCGACACTGTCGCGACAGGACTTACTTTTACATTCAACCATTTTAAGATCAGCTACCATTGAAACCGAAAATAAAATCAGCCCCTAGAATCACACTTTACCTCCAAATGCAGCCGCACCACTGTGGGTATCACACAGCCAAACAGAACATGTACTTTCAAAGAGACTTATTTGCTCTTGATCCAGAGCTTTTTTCGATGGTGTCCATAAAATCATGCAAACATGCAAACACAGTGTATCGAGGCTCACACAATAGATAATTAAGAGAAGCAAGAAGAGAGTTACATTTAACTTCCACGGGGTTTTACAAAATTAGTTGGGAGTGTTATACGGGCACAGCTGAGTATATTATATTCACCAGCACTTACAGAACAATTGTGGAACTGTGCAAGTCAACTGTATGAAGCAGCAGTCAGGGTTCCGGACCTATAACTGGAAGGCTGAGGGTTCGAATCCCAGGCGACACACCGCTGTTGAACCCTCGCAGCAGGTCCCTCACCCACATGGCTCCAGAAAAAGCACCCAGCTGTAGGAATGGGGGCGCATGGAAGCTGCCTTGGATAAAAGGGCCAGCCTAGCTCTTAACGGGGGTAACCTGAAACAGGCCTTGGCTAGCCGAGTGCTGGGAGTGAGAGGGGACATGAGGAAAAGCAGCCCTGCCGCTGGCAGCCAGCAGGGAGACTCCCGGGGAGACAGGCAAGCCGGCCCAGGGCCAACGGGGAACTGGAGTCCTTTTTATCTTTTGCAGTCACTTGTGATAGAATCTGGAGATTTTTATTTGATTTTTTTTCTGCTGTTGCAATTAAAACACTGTCTGTCAGTACAAGATGGATAGCTCTGGCCAAAGGGAAGTCGTTTTGACCACATATAATTTGTAAACAGTCTCCTTCTCTGAGGACGGATTAGCGTTCCCAGAAACTGGATCTGGTCTGGATTATATTCGCTGCTTTTTTCTTGCTTGCTTTCAATATTTGCTTTTTTTCTTTTATGTGATTTCTTTAAAATTACTAACCCTGACAGGATATTTCACATGAGCATTCTCTTAGGAGGACAAAAACGATGAACTTTTCAGAGAGAGTCAGTCTTTCTTCATAACTTCCATGGAAAGCCTGAAGAAATCCTACAGTCACCTGAACAGTAACAGAAATCAGTCGAGCCCTAACCCCAAATTAAATAACATTGTCATCTTAAAAAATGCATTTAATTATACTGTAAAAAAATGCCTCATATTAGGTAGACAGCCAAAAGCAGGCAAGATAATCTAATGTTCTAACACATCAAGAAACCAGCCATGGGTTCTCAAAAATAATCTAATGTACTTAATGATTATGAGTTATTTTAACAGCAATCTAATCGTGAAAAATTAGCCTGATGTTTAAAAAATGTACTGAAGAAAAACAGGCAACAAAGGTTTTACGTAATTTAAGTCTATAAGACACTGTACAGACATGTATTGAAGTCTATTCAAGTGGCAAAGCATTATTCTAAATAAAATTGACAAATATACTCAAAAACCTGCTACTGTACTTCATAGTATGGTATGAAGGCAAAAGAGTATCATTAAATGCCAATGATTTGCTCTACAATTAATTTCTGGGAATCAACAAAAAGAAAGGCTCATTGAATACGTTAATATATAACTAGACAAGTAAACCAGAAAACTGGATCCAGCATTTTAAACTGCAGGGCTGCTTAAACCAGCAGCACCTTCTTGGTAGAAATCTACAAAGAAAAGTGGGGAAAAAGTGGAACCTCTTCATTTAATTTTCAAACAACGCTGCATCACGATGCGTCCTATCAGTGTCCTGAGGCCACGGCGCGACTGGCTGGCTCTCCTGTGAGCCCACACACATCACAAAGACATCTTCTACATGGCTGAGCCTCCCACGCCAGAGGCAGCGCAGAGGAACGGCCTGCTGCACCACAGGGCTTGCTCTCCACAGATTCTTGCTAGCCCCTGGTCATCACGGCAGAATATATTCAGCACATTATGGATATGATTCTCGGGCCCAGTCCTGGAGCAGAAAGGTCAGCGCTTGGAGGCTCCCCACTCCAGCATTCCAGGAGCAATGGAAGGCAACTGCAATCCTAAATTAACTCTTTGCTTACTAAAAAAAAGAAAAACAAGGCAGGCAGTGCTCGCGAATGTTATTTGACCCATTCGCTTAACATGATAGTTAAATGTAAAAAGACTTGGCAGCACAATGGCAAGCCAATGTAAAAGTCAATCTCGGAATCTATGTAATTAACATAACATCACTTTATTAGCCTTATACAATTTCTTGCATTAGGAATTCGTCTTTTCGCAGACCCCAGCTTGCTCTCCAGACACACAGTCAGGGAGAGAAGCTGGGGGTCAGAGTGCAGCTGGGGCAGCTGGGGTTAAGGGCCTTGCTCAGGGGCCCAACGGAGTAGGATTCCTTTGCTGGCCGCAGGATACGAACCGGCAGCCTTCCAGCCACTGGCGTAGATCCTCAGCCACAGAGCCACCGCTCCGCCATTATACTGAATTAAACATTCAGTATATGAACCATGGAAGAATGTACAGAGAACTAAATTGTACAGGGATTCACATCATCATACAATTTAAAACAATTGTTCACATCCTGAGGACATTTCTGCAAATGTTCTTACAAATTCAAATTCAAAAGGTCGGCTTGAATTCAGTACAGGTGTATGAACTAATACACAACACTGTTTTATGGGATTTCACTCATATGGGATCCCTTTACATTCAACTGAATGAAGCAAATTTTTCTGATGTGGAATTTTACATCTTCAAAAGAGACAGCTCTGAATGGCCCAAATCCTACCATAATAACCGCCAGAAAGCAGAAATAGCCTCCTTTTCCCCCGTGTCCTTGCTGTTGAAAGAAAAACCACCCAGACAAGCCTATATCCATAGTTACCACTTAACCCAGTTTGTGTTTATTTAGCCAAAGTTCAGGCAACCAAAATATTGGTAATTAGTACAGTCTTGTATGAAATCTTCACTCGCTTAAAAGTCCCAAATGGAAAAGACACATAAATTGCTTCTGAGGATAAAAGTTTTCTTTTGGAGTTTCAAAGCAGCATTTTGTAATTTCTGCAATAGTGACTAGAGACTTTATAAAACTGCAAAACAGCATACCCAGTGGAATAGATCTGAAAGGGCTTGGAGGAAGTGGCAGTTTTTTTTACATTCTGCATAGAATATTAGATATTTTAATTTGTGATTTATGTATTTATTTTAAGATCTTGGGGAAACATGAACAAATGATATGAATAGTTCAGTCAAATGACATTTGAAAAAACTTGGTGAATGTCTCTGTGGAAAGTTAGGATATAGTTCAATCTAAGTTTAGAAATGAACCTACTGTGGAGAGTACAGATGACTGATATTAAAATATTTCCATGGGCATTAAGGCAGAAATGATATTCCCGATGTCAGAGATGCATCTCACTTTAATCCTTATGGAAAACAATCACACTCATGACTCCGGGTCTAGAAGTAATTCTTTACAGACTAATTCTTTAAGACACCAAACCTAAAGCTGGCTAGAGTTCAAGACACCACATACTGTACATTTCAGCAGCCATATCATTCCAACACCTCCTCAAAAATCCACTCCACCTGTAGATGGAATGATTTGCCTCCCCGCCTTTTCTGCATCTTCAATCTGGATCAGAGAGTTGGAGTGCATGCTCACTGTGCAGGCTTCCACTGCTGTGATCCACTCCAGCTCTGACCTCACCGTAGTTGCTCACAATATTTTTGATTCACTGCGTAAATTGCATTTTATTTCATTTTGCTCACCGTTAAACCACTATTTAACACTACACCATATTTTAAACACACCCTTAAGTTGAAAAAGTTCCATTAAATATAATAAGGTACAGTCATTCATTCTCTTTACCCATTGTAACGGAGAGATGGTTCTAGAAACAAAATGCCACTGTACATCATCTGTTCACAAATAAATCAATGGAATACACGAATCACACAAATGGAAACATGGAGAATAGTAAAAAATAGCAGTACTGGATTTTGCAAAAACAAATCTGACCAGAATTATTGCATTATTGACTGTAAATTGTCATGGATAAGTGTAAGAAAAATAGCTTCTTAAACACTGAAACAAATGACAAGATGCTTTCTTTTTTTTCCCCAAGAGAAAGGATCTGTAGATACACTTGTGCAGAACTTGAAATTATTGTGAAGAAAGCCGAGAAAAATTTATGTGCACTTTTGGGGAACCAAGTCCACAGAAAAGTGATCCAAAACGTATCTTTTTAAATAACATGTCTAAGGATAAACATAGGTTCTAGAAATGTCACAGAAGAATAAAACCTACCTTTTCATCTTCGTCATCATCTTCACACCAGTCCATATTATCCTAGAAAAGAACAGTCGTTAAAATATAATGTGTAATGTGTAAATATAAGTGTATAGCATGCATTCTTCGATATTGTTGGTAATGCTTCTCCTTGTGTTTCCGCCTTTCATTACACAAGCCTTTCATGTGCACAAAGGCTGTTTTCCACAAATGACTTCAGAAAAACTGACAGGGGAAAGAGACTCCTGTTCAACACAGCAACATCACAGCTCTGCAACCTAAATTCTCCAGCAAAGTAAACAAAAACATGAAGAAAATAAAATGATATTAGCACAGTTGCTTTGATCACTTCGTACGGTGCACAAGTCAGGCGCTAGGTCACCGTTAGGCCACGTCACTTCAAGATGGATATTCAGGCAGACCAGGGCTCTACCTTCACCCCCAAGGCTACACTCCCCTTCCCTGGCCTCTGGCACATTCACACCAAGAGACCGCAGGGAAGGGTGTGTGAAAGAGGGGAGCTGTGAGGTACCTAGTGCATTTATTCAGAGGGTGTAAACGGTGTTACCCTTCAGAATAACAAGGTGGAGAGGCAGGGGCCTGCTGAAGTGTGCTCCGCAGCACATTGAAGACGCAATTTCATTATGATTCTAGGCTCTTGTCTTTTGTGCACCAAGTGTAGGGTGTGGTAGCAATCTGCCCACAGTAGGAGGAGGCTATAATCCACTGCTGCTTTTATAATTCCACTTTTCCACCTTATATTGTTTTGTGTATTGTTTTCTCCTTTAATTAGACCTTTTCAGATTGATGCTGCATGTCTTCACCAACTTGAGGGCCACAGGCCTCGTGATTAATTTTTAAAGGTAGAACTTGATTTTAAAATCAAGTTAAACTGGAGCACACATGCAGTGTTTTTCATCTCGATGCAGCTACTGTACATGGCCTGCCTTGCATGTATTATTTGAGTTCACTGCAAGGACATGCCTTCTGCACGGCTCGGTGAGGAAACGGTCTCAGCAGTCAGAATTCTACAAATCGTCTGAGCATCCCCAGCTGCTCCTCTCTCTGACCGAGCCGTAGGAGCCGGCGCCCGCGCAGCACGGGAGAGGGTGACACTCACCAGGTCGTGTGTGTGGCTGACCTTCCCCGCAGCGATCTGGAAGTAGTTCCAAGCGAAGAGGAGGAGGAGGAAGAGGGGCAGCATGTAGAGCTCCCAGTGCCAAACCGTGAGCACGAAGATCTGAAACGACAGGACGCACACTGAGCAGGAGGGCCGCAGGTGAGCCAGATCCCCAACACGGACGTGTAACTGAAAACACCAGACACTGTTGACAAATACTTCATCTTTCTCCTTTGCTGCTCTCTTGTTGTTCAAATCATGCATTTTTCTACTAGAATCTGAATACAGGTAACACAGAGAAAAATACAATACATCAATTCATTAACAGGAGATGGGCCAACCATGTGCTGCATTTACGACATTCTACAAAACCGAGTTTAGCCGTTGAATTTCTGCTGAGTGCGTCCTGGAAAGGTACTTTACTTGGGCTGATCACATTCTCAGGAGTCCTGAGTGTTAGAGGGGGGGGGCGCCTGCATTTTGCAGTTCTCAGAATAGAGGACACATTCTGTGACAAGGAAAGAAATCCCATGCAAAGTTTAATCTGCATCAGACCCTGCAGGGCTCGGATTTAGTCCTTCCAATTGCCTGTGACTCGGCACATAAGGTAAACCAGAGGAACATGTTCAGCATATATTTCCATCGCTGCAGTAATACTGAGGAAAGCCAAGACCCCTGGAAGAAATAAGATGAATCATGCCGAATGAATAATCCTTCATAATTCTGTAAAAGGCCTGGCACAAAGCACGGCGCAGAAACTCCCACAACATTTCACAGCTGTGCATTAATTGGAACCAAACACTTAAACCCATTTAGTGACAACCTCATGAGTCAGGCTTAAACCGTTATTATCTCAGACGGTTGTTTCGAGGATAGATGAAGAGAAAGGAGAAATGGGAGATATTTCCTCTCGATGACTGACAGATCACACAATCAAGACAACCGTGTGACAAGGGTCAGGCTTGACTGTCACAATTTAAATCCCGTCAAACAGCTTTCTCCAGACCTGTCTTGTTTGTGCCTCACAAAGATGAATCAACTCTCTGTTTCAAGTTTTTTTTATTTATTCTTATCATTATTAATACGTTAAGGCTAGGGTAATGCATATAAACTTCCAGAACAATCATGTCAAAATAAACCATGGGTATAAATGATACCCTGTTCCTTACACTCTGACATCATTATCTTCTCTTTTCTGTGAGCAATTCACACAGAGAGGCAGTACAGCCCTAGTAATGTCTGTTGAAATGAACTGCAGAAGGTTAGCTTCATTTTTAAATATTCACACCTACAATACCACTGTGTCCCTGTCTAATGTGCTAAGGGCTGCTCAGTACAATATGTCTGGAGTTTGATCCTTGAGGGGCGAAGCGGTGGCACTGTGGCTGAGGATCTGCACCTGTGGTTGGAAGGTTGCCAGTTCAAATCCCGAGGAATCCTACTCCATTGGGCCCCTGAGCAAGGCCCTGCTCCAGGGGTGCTGTATAAATGGCTGACCCTGCGCTCTGACCCCCCAGCTTCTCTCTCTCCGCCTGGTGTCTCATGGAGAGCAAGCTGGGGAATGCGAAAAGTGAAATTCCTAATGCAAGAAATTGTATATGGTCAATAAAGTGATCTTATCTTATCTTGAGCGATATGTTTACTGGTGTGACTTCAGGGCCCCTTCTGAGCAGCACACACAAGTCTGTACGCATCACGGTTAGCTGGTGGGTAATCCCACCTCAACAAACATGTAAGGAATGAGAGGGAACTAGGAAACACATGGATTTCAGCCGTCTTTCTCCTGACGGAGCGGGTTTGTTTTCCTTTTGCGGAGCTAAGTCTATGACCGAACATTAAAAAGGTGCCCCTGCCTGGCATATCACATTCAATGCTTTTCATTCAAGGTGCATACGAGTGTACCTGAAATAATGTCTGCTCCTATTGTTTGAAAGACGTTTTTATCTACCATATATCAGATTATCAGTCATGTCTTTTCACTTTAATCACTCCGTCATTGCAAATTTAAATTTGATGAATTCTTCTTTGACAGGCAGTTGATTTACAAGACATTCTCACTAACAGACTAAACTATTAAAGCTGCACCGACCTATTTTCCAGCAGCTATGAACATGCACAGTGGGTAATATGCTGCTCAAGACAACTGCCTGATTTTGAAAGAAAACCCAATTTGGTGGCATGAGAGCACATTTTACATACAAACAGGTGCAGACAGGCAAATGTTATCTATCAAGTTAATTGCATGCAAGAAAAAAAAATTATCTCCCCTCCAAAAAAAAAAAAAATGCTGCAAACATTTCACCTACGTCCCCTGTTCCGTGTCCACTGAGGACATTTTGCTGTTATCCCCAGGGGAATGAAAGTTTTTGGGACAGCTAGCTAGTTCTCCCTGGAGTATCCTTTGTGCGCACTCCTGCACACTGACTTCAACCCAGCTGGAACCATGGATCCTTTGCCCTCGATGTGAAAGCTGCTCTATAAACCACTGAAGTCTAATTGCCTGGTCTCTGTCTTTTGGTGGAAGTTAACACAGGGAGGCAATTCATTTCTACCCAGGGAGCCAAAGGAGAGAATCTGTCACAGGTCTTCCTAATCGGTCGCTAATGCAAATTCTGCTTAGTGAGCGGGGCTTGGGAAACAGATAAAAAGCATAAAGGAATATAATTTGTCGTGTCTAAATTGCGCGTCTAAATGGAGCTATAAACCAAACCTGTCAGAGTGCCCCCTGTATTCCAAGAAACAGCCCTGTCAGGCCACGTGAGCAGAATTTACATGTTTTTATGTGCTAATAAAAATGTAACCGGAAACATCTGGAAACATCTGAAAAAGCCATTGCATCTCTCCTTTCAGGCTCTCACTCCGTAAAATGTCAGCTGTCCCTCATTAATGCACACAAGAAAGGTATACCTACCCCGTCTCCTCGCATTTCCTGGTAGTCTTGTGAACTAGAGACGCAACCAATACCTTGCTAAATGGTTTAAATTTTATTACCCAGAGAGCACAAAAACCAACATCAGCCTTAAGTCCACATTTCTACAGAAAACAATCCACCTTTTAATTAGCTGGAAAGTTCAGCACCATTTCCAGCTTGCAAAGTGTGTCACACAATCTTTTAGCACCAGACAGGTTAGATTTGAAGGTGTGCACCTCCCCATCTCTGAAATGGTTTATTAACGGAAAACAATCAGGTACTGATACACACACTTAGGTATTCTGTGCCACAAGACATGAAACATACAGTAAATTATCCTAGAAATAACCAAATAATATTTTGCAGAATAAAATAAATCTTTTTGAATTCATTTATTCTTACAAAAAAGACAATATTTGTGCATTAAATGTGTTAAAAATGTAAAATATCCATACACAATTTTAACACAGCCCTCCATTCTTTGCAGCAACAAAATTTGTTGTATAGTGAAATTCAAAATGTTTTTAATTTTGTTCAGTTTATCTGCGATATTATTCTCACATACACAGCAGACATCGTTCTTCCTCCTTGACCAAGAAGTTCACAGCGTTTAGAAGGTAACAAAATATTTACATTTTATGCTACATGAATACACTATATAATAATGAAATAACTAATCACGATTATATTACATATAATTATAGATTCAATTTAAAAATTAGTGCTCAGCTATTTTCTAATGGCAGAATAATCCACTATAGTAACTGTAAAAGAAATGAGAAAACACAGTTCTGGATTTGTACATACTGTAGGTGTGATGCTCTGTAATTCAGAGTAAACATGTATGACAAAAAATGGAAGCTCATTCATGCTAAATTTGAATCTGCAAAAAATTGTTGCACCATTTTGAACACCATAAAAAAAGTTTTCTTCATTAACTTTCTTTTTAAAGTCTCTGTAGATTATAGCACAGTATATGTAATTAATGATTTCCCAAATCCACATTTGCACAAGGTAGGATCGGGTAATTAATGCCTTCTAATTGAAATGCTTTTGATTTGTGTGCATAAGGAGCGTCTCTAATGTATGAAACCCTCCCTCGACAGAGCCATTTAGTTGAAAGATGTCAGGACAATTATGCATGGAGTGTCTGGGAAAAAAAATAATTAATTAATTAATAAAACTGTTACTGAGTATAGTGAAGTGTGTGATTGAGATGCACTCTCCTTAGATATCTGTAAGTCTGCAGAGAAGTGCTTGCCCTGCATGAAACAACACTGCTACCTGGGTTAAAAATCAGATGACGGGATTTGTTTTATAGTGCTCTTAATAGGATTCTGCTAAATGCATTCTACAGGTCTCCCACTAATCCCTCTAGCACACGATCCATGGCCTTACACAATAAAGCTCGGAGAGTGACTTTTCACCCTCAGTTAAATGCTTGGTTAGAAGAAGCACAGCTGTAGCCATTCCCTCCTCTTAGAAGAGAGTAACGTCTGATGTCAAAACAAAAGGTAGAGTGCAGGGGCTCACGGGCACAATGTGCACAAATGTATTACATAATCTGGCCATGAAAAACCCCAAGAACTGTAAACAGATCACATTTACACTTTTCACATATTTCACAGATTTCTCAAATCCAAGTAATTCCCCATCACACTGACTTGTAAAATCCCCAAACTTCTGTTGTCAAAAAAACAACAGTTCTCACCATATCACAATGACAAAATCCGAGTTTGCTATCAATGCTACACTGAACATTTTACTGCACCGTTTCCTTTATTTCAACAACTGTTTTTTTTTATGTACAAAAACCCTAACTGAGTTGCACCACCTTTTGATCTGACCTATTAAAACTCACAACTATATCAGTATGGCTAATGTAAGAAAAGAAATGGGAAAAAAAACAACATTTTTCCATACCGAGTGGGGTCTCTGACTTTATTTCAATTTAAACTGGTGGCGAATTCAAGCTCAGATCCCCTCTCAGATCAAGAGCTTCACAGCAATCTTCCATCAGGTTCCCAGTCTCTGATGGCCACAGTCACAGCCCCAGCTCAGATGACGCTAAAATCACACATTCACTGCTTTGTTTCGCATTAAAAAAATTACTGAGGTTAAAATTAAGATGTCTCTGACGTGTTTCAGTTAGTGCTCCTCGTGCTTCAAAGATTTTGCCCCTTGATGTTAGGATTGAAAGTAACTGCTT